GGAGAATCACACTGATATTTCAAGTTTTGCTTGCTTAGCAGTATGAGTATTTGCTTATGGACACTGTGTTGCTGTTCTACTGCATAGATCTATTAACCTTGTAATATTCATCCTTTCTCTCTACAGCCCCAATAGTATTGTTCAAATGATTTTTGCAGCTTCATTTAGATTTGAACTGCCAAACATAAATCAACCAAAAAATAATGATTAAAACGGCATTCTTAACTTTGCAGCTGCACATGATAGTCATAAGGCTATCTTAAAATATATTATCATTATCTCTACAAAGTAAAGTTAACATCTTTGCATGTGCTAGGCTGCTGAATAAAAGAACCAGAGAATGTTATAATGCACAAACCAGTGAATACAAAATAACTTTCCTTAAAAATACAAATCGTGGTTCAATGCCACTCAATGTGAATGTTGACATAGCCCCAAGTGAAGAAAGTATGTAAGTGCCTAACACTGTGCACATGAAAATGTATACATATGAATGCAAATAAAGAGCTAAGAAAACAGAATTTAAGTACAAATAGGTATAAACTGGCTATGAATAAATATTAAGGCTGGAAATTAGAAGAAGGGTGGTTGTTTTTTTTTAAATCAGCCCTCTTCCCATAGGAAGAACAGAGACAAGCAAAAAGTCACTTTTAGTAGGGATTTTGATAAATTTGGGAACAGGACTATGGGGTTGAATTGCCTGTGATAGCAGAAAGATCGGATTCAAATGACTCTTTTCTTCCAGCCCTGTGCTCCTATGTTACTGACTTTATACATCTTTAAAGCTAAATGGACTTACCTACTTAATCAGAATTAAACATATGTTTATTATTCATCTGTTTAAAATTAACAAGCATAAAAGAGAAGTCTAACTGCACTAAATACAGATAGAAAAGTAGTGTATTACTATTGCCTGAACCTAAATTTGAATTAAACTACATAGAGATTGCAGTGATTATCAGGTTTGATAAAATACAGGCATACATGAGAAAAAAATAAACAGTTAACTATAACTGAAGCAGCAGGCCTTTTGAAGACAACTAACTAACTAATTAACTACTGTAACTGTGGGACCATCTCCCAGTTCCCAACTTCAGTAATCTTTTAAGTAATAGAGCAGCTCGTATTTACAACTTCTATCAATACAAAAACAAGAAGTCAATGAATAGAGTATTGAATACAAAAAAATAAAGGTTTCTTTGGGGTCACGAGTAGTTAGCGTAACTTTTTGAAGTTGGAATGAGATTAAAGATTGTGGAGAAATGCTTGTTCTTATTAAATGAAGTTGAGATTTTGACAGGTACCGAAAATGCTGTGTGAATAATTAATTTTTCACTTTGATGAGCAAACAGAAAAATCATGCTCTTTCTCCTAACCCTCCAAAAATCTATATTATTTTTTCAAGTTTGGGATTTTGGGTAAGGTTTTTGTTAGGTTGGCTGGTTGGCTGTTTACTTAAAAAAAAATGTATTTGGGTTTTTGGAAGTATTTTAATATTGTTTTAATTTTTTTTTAAAAATGAGTGCATTAAGTTTTCTCTTGTGCACTTAAAGTTTTGGAACAATTCCTAGAGGGAGTTGCAAAATATGAATATATTATCTTTAAAAAAGGAGGCAAAAGCTTTATCAAAGTAATATGTGCACATTATTTTGCTTGGAAACAATGGAAATCTGATTTTTTAAAAGACTTTTAAAATGACTTTTAAAATGAAAATTCATATATTTCAGTTGACCCACTTGAATGAATCTGATTGGAAATGATATTTGAAACCTGGAAAATATTTCATGTAGTGGAACTTTATGGCTATCATTTTGCTCAGCCCCACACGAAATGGTATGGGTATGTAATGGGCAATCATGGTAATGAACGTACGTAAATCATTAGGTGACAAAGCAAATGGGGTATAGGCACAGAACTGTAAGCTCATCTATACCTATTTTCTCTCTACATATCTCCCCCTCTCTCTATTTCTTTCTCTCTCTGGTAGTGGTTTAACATCTAGATATCTTCACTATTCTTCCATTCCTTTAGTTCTAAAGGCATAGGGATTTAATTTCTATTTTAATGAGCCTACAGTTTTAAAAGGGGGAGGTTTGTTTCTGATAAAATCTTGTCATTTTCAATATAGTTTATAACTCACATGTAGAGTCCATTTTTATTCCTATTATAGTCAATATAACACAACTCTTGATGGATGGCAACTAGCTATGATCAATTTCTTTTCTCTTCCCTTTTTAATTGGCTTTTGTAGACCATTGTTTTGCATCCCAATGACATATCCTCAGAAATGTACAGCTGTATCATATTCTTTTCATTGGCTAATCAAAATAATAATTTAACAATTTACTTAAAATGTAACAGAATACCACCACCCCATTAAAAAAAAAATCAGGTGTTTGCTGGAAACTTATAATTGGGATTCTTAAGAATCAGATGACGTTCCACTCTATAATTGATCAAATTCACTTCTTTGTCTCCTAACACTTTGCAGATTCTTATTCTAACTGGAATTAATTTTGTCTCCTTTTTCTGGCCACCAGACTCCAAAATGAAATTGTCCCTTTCAATAAGGCTGAAAAAAAATGGTGAGGGAGGCATTCAGACTGAAGCAAAAGGATCTTGTTGCTTTTAAACCCCTCATAAAATCAAATATTATCTTAAGAAATCCTAATCAAATTAATCTTCAACTCCATCTTCCCTCTCTTCACCCTATGACTTCATCCTGAGTTTGCCTGCTTCTGTCCTGAATCTCATTTACTTCCCATTAGAAAAAGTAAAGTTAACTTAAAAAAAAAATAACCTTTCAATTACCTTTTAAAGTCTTACAAGAGGGCTCGGTTAGACTGTGACATCATTCACTGATGGTTTTAGCACATGGACTGTATTCCCCGACTGACCTAATTTATCTAAGTTAACACAGATAACTAGACAGTGAAATATAAAGAGTCCTTCACAACTATTGGCTAACTTTAAACAGTTTAGTATATGGTGCTAGATGGATTCTGCAAGATATGAGCAGAACAAACACTTGATGGCTGGGTGGATGGCTAGATACATACTAAGATGGACAGATGGATAGATGGATATCTGGAAATATATATTGTTCCCCATGAATATGATTTAAAAAAAATCACTTTTATATCTGTAGAAGCATTTCTAACAGGAGCTACTGAAGACATTTGAAATATTTACACTTACATCGTACATGATTTCTTAGGTTCAGATGGCAAGTACTATTATTCATCCGTCATTATAACTGTATTCTTTATCTAAGTGAAACTGAGTACAGAGAAGGAGAAGGACAAGCCTAGTGGTAGGCTTGCTCCGCTCCTATAAGCTAAGGGACTTTGGATCAGTACTGTGTGCCTTCTCAGAATTCAACCCTAAATGGTAGGGTTCTTGGTTGTAGCCATGTTGGTCTAAGGACATAGGCAGGCAAGGTTCTTTGGGTAGATGTGATATCTTTTATTAGACCAACTAAATAGTTCAAAAAACGTTCTTGGCAAGCTTTCAGGCACAAACACTCGAGGCACTGGGAGACTCTGCTGTTGTTCTGAGTCCTCCGAGGTAGAAAAGAAGCTAACAGTATAACAAGAAGTCTGTGAAAATGTAAATGAGTGGACATTTGGAAGACAATGGGTTGAGATAGGAGGGGAGAGAGAGAAAGGGGAGAAATGTGTGAAGGAATGCAAATGGTAAGCTTCAGGCAGGTACCTGGTGAATCAGATGTCAGGCTGGTTGTAATGTGTCATAAATCCAATGTCTATATTAAGTCCATGGTTGTTTTTTTTATCCAGTAGATTTATGAAGTGAAGTTCATAGGCTTGTCTGTGAAAGGTGTTTTGTAAGTTCCCTTTGAGGACCAGAACTGAGAGATCAGAGAGGGGGTGATTGTTTAGTAAGAAGTGGGCGCCCACAGGTAATTGGATATTTTTGTCTTTGATGGATTTTCGGTGTGCATTCATTGTTGTTTGGTTTCTCCTAGATATATCCCATTAGGGCATTTGCTGCACTGGATGAGATATATTACATTTCTGGAGGTGCAGGTACCAGAATGAACACACACTGGAAATCCACCAAAGACAAACTTCACTTCATAAAGACTTCATGTTATACCTTTAGCTTCTTTTCTACCTTGGAAACTCAGAACAACAGAAGAGTCTCCCAATGCCTGAAGAAGGGTGTTGTGCCCAAAACCTTGCAAAGAACCTTTTCCCAACTATTTAGTTGGTCTAATATAAGATATCACATCTACCCTAAAAGGTACAAATAGAGCAAAACAGATTTTGAAATAACTTTGATAAATTTCAACAAAAATCACATTTGCATCCATAGACCAGATCCTGACCCCAAGGGAAGTGAGTGGTTTCCATTAATAATCAATAAACTAATTTCAGTCAACTGTTTATATCAGAATTCATCACTAAATTGACATACAAGTCCTTTAAAAAAAAAGAAAAAATAAAGAAAAGAAAACAGAAAAAGGTAGCATGATACGGCCAATCTATTTGAATGTAAACAGAATCAGGCCACTGAAATGAATTCACTTCCAACAGCGTTTCTCAGGGATCAGTTGTGGCTGCCAGAAATCAAAGCCCGAGCTATTATATTATCTTACATTTCTATCATACTACAAGATCCATCAGCCATTGATGGGTAGAAATACTCCTCTATTTTTCCCCTTTGTCCTGCATTCATGGGACACTATATAAGATCATATATACTGTGCAACAACACGTAACTGCCATATAGATAGGCAAGCTTTATCAATTTGCATAACACCATACTTCTCTAAATTCCTTTATGAGCTACAATTACTTTAAAAAATACCACCCTTGAGTCTAGGCCCTTCAAGTCAACAAGATCTTTGCCATTGGCTTCAATGGTGATGGAATAGAAACCCCTATTTAAATACAGTTCCCTTCATCTCACTCTTCACTCTCCATACAACACCGTTCGGGTCCCCTCCTCTAGGTCAGCCTTTTTTATAAGGTAGGTACCTGAGAACCCCTTCTCCATCTCTGCAATGTAGCCAAGGCTCGTCACTCCATGTAGCCACTTGAGTATAGCCTGGGCCACTTATAATACATTCGGCATCCTCTCACTTAACGTACGTGACTGTCCACTGATAACTCCGCCAGTCTGCTTCCCAAAAGAACTACTTGTAAGTCAATTCTCAGATCCAAACATTCAAAGCTGCAAGGCAGTTTAGTGCCACAGGACTGACAACCTGTCCTACTACATTAATGTAATCTTTAATACACCCTGGAGGAAATTCTTGTTTTGTTATTCTTAATGGACCTGCTTACTCATTTTCCGTTACTGCAAGATAGGTTTAATGGACTTAATACAGCACCAGGAAGGCCTCATTGGAGACGTAGTTAATGAACACTCAAAATTGGAAAACTTTAACTTAGAAAATGTCATATATCAAGTGAGCAGGACCAATTAAAGTAGCCAGATTTTCAGTGTGAGTAGCTGTAACACCATCAGGATTTCCTACCGAATGTTCCGTTTGGAAAAGGTGAATGGAATTGGGGGTGATGGCAGGGAGGGCAGAATTTGTTTTTCCATGGTGGAAAGTAATCTCCTGCTCCTGGGAATGCTTTACCAACACCAACTGCAAAAACATCTATGTTGCCAGTTTACATTAGGGATAATATTGTGACTGCATTTAAACTGGAAGAAACCACTCCATCAGTCAAAGGAGGATTTCAGAGGATGTGACCTTGAGTAATGTTCTGGCTAGTAAAAACTGTGGATTTGATCATTAATAATATTTTGTATGATCCTTTTTTTTCATTCAAAGCTGACTGTGTCAGCCAAAAGGGTAAAACCCTCTCTTATGTTCCATCTTTCTCCATCTTATTGCAAGCAGGAGGAATCTCTATGAAAATAATCTCTGTTTGCCAAATTGAAACGATAACATGCCTGGGAGTGACTGGATTCACCTAAGGTCTCCTCAAATTATGAGATGGTCAAATCTGCAGTCTCAGCAGCCTGGACAGCAAAACATTACTAAGTAAGAGAGATTTTTTTTTTCTTCTGTTAGAACAGCCTTATGACCCTGGCTGTGAAAACCCATCACCATTACACCTGAAAGTAGATATACTGGGTGATAGTACAGCTATTGTCAGCCAGACACGTTGTAAGTTGGATGATAGCTATTGACGTGACAATAGCTATTCACCTGCATAACTGGTGAAGATCCAGACTAATTAATTTGTCTTAGGTCCTCAAAGAGCTCTGGGCTAACAAGATCGTTCAGCGACAACACACTGACAATGGATGTAGAGCAACAGAGTTGATGTCCTCCTATTATACCCAAACCAGAAAGGGAAACCTTTGGGAAATTTGCCAAGACTTGTTCTCATGCTAGTGGAAATGTTGTGAAACAACGTATGAGGCTTATGCATCCAGGGTGATGTTCCGGCATTGCTTCCAGGGACTGCATGCCCATCTGCAGTGGGTTTGACTTCTCAAACTACAAGTAGCCAGTTTCCTTTCTAGGTTTCCTGCATTATGGTCATTATTACAGTATCAGACATACAAGCAAGCTTTGACCCCCTATTTTCAAAAACCAGATAAATTTGCACACACATGGAAGTTACTTCTTGTGCTCCTCGAACTCACCAGAGCAGTGCCAAACTCCATCTTTGCAGGCTAAGTTATCAGTTCAGCGTCAGTGAAAGATTAGTCGCTGTGGGAGTTCGGTTCCTCTATTATTCATGCCGTTCTGCTCACAGCCAGATTTATGTGTCAGGAAAAACATACAAATGGAATCCGATTTACTTGCACAAGTTCCTGGTCTGTTTGATTTATATTTGAGTAAATAAAGACATATGTCTTAGAGGTATTGGTCTTTGGCTCCTTTGCTCGCTATATATCTATGTCCAATTTATCAGCTTCTTTCTTTGCCAGCCTTCTCTTTAGCAAGGTTTTCAAGGAAAGCAGAACTAGAAGAAGCCAATATCCATGACAATTTGAAACCTTTCCCTTTGTAATATATTACAAAGGGATGCAACCAAAACACTGGCTTGCATCCATAGATGCTTCTCAAGCAAATCCCGGGACGTCATTCTCCCCCTGTACTCGGCCTTAGTGAGGCCGCAGCTGGAGTACTGTGTCCAGTTTTGGGCTCCACAATTCAAAAAGGATGTGGAGAAGCTTGAGAGAGTCCAGAGAAGAGCCACGCGCATGATCAGAGGTCAGGGAAGCAGACCCTACGATGACAGGCTGAGAGCCCTGGGGCTCTTTAGCCTGACAAAGCGCAGGCTCAGGGGTGATCTGATGGCCACCTACAAGTTTATCAGGAGTGACCACCAGCATCTGGGGGAACATTTGTTCACCAGAGCGCCCCAAGGGATGACGAGGTCGAATGGTCACAAACTACTACAAGATCGTTTCAGGCTGGACATAAGGAAGAATTTCTTTACTGTCCGAGCCCCCAACGTCTAGAGCAGCCTGCCACCGGAGGTGGTTCAAGCGCCCACATTGAACACCTTCAAGATGAAACTGGATGCTTATCTTGCTGGGATCCTATGACCCCAGCTGACTTCCTGCCCTTTGGGCGGGGGGCTGGACTCGATGATCTTCCAAGGTCCCTTCCAGCCCTGATGTCTATGAAATCTATGAAATATATTTTGTGATGATTCTTTGCAGTGTCAGTGCCTCTCAGCTGAGTCTCAAGACTCTTCACAGGGATTAGTAATAAAACCTCACTCCACTACAATGAGATGGACTGTATTTGCTCTCGTTATACTTATTCATAACTCCCAGCAGAATGGCAGCTCACTTGCAATACCAGAAGCAAAACTCAAGATCCATGCTACCAGGTCTAACAATTAAACCATAACTAATTGGCAGGAGGTAGGGCAGGGTAGCAGCTCAGGGTGCATCCAGACAAGCGCAGACAAGCAGTATGTGGTACAGCAGGCAGGTTGCAGGAGGTGTGCCACTGCTACTCATGGGCAACTGGTGCCTCCTGTGTCTGGGTGGCACCCGCAGAAACTGCTGCCAGCTTTGGTGGGGATGGGACTGGTGAGCACCCATAGAAACTGCCAGTGGTGGTGGGGACGGCCCTGTCTGGGGGGGCATGTGCCCCCCGATGCCTCCTCTACCAGTCTCCTATGCTGCTACTTTTCCCTGGGAAACACATCACACAAAAGTCATGAATGGACTGGCAGAAATAAAATAAAGTCTATAGAAGGAAAAGAGACAGGGGTGGGGACACTGCTAAGAAAGATAAAAAGCAGGTTGATTGATTGAATCAGCCTAACTACTACAGTCATAGCAATAACTAATTATAGAGCATAGCTGTGGTTACTAACCAGAGACCATATAGCAGCATTTTAGATGCATGGATTTTCAGTGCTATTTAATGAAAAGATTGTAGATATATCTGGCTGTAAATACAAAATATATCCCATAAAAATATGTGAAAGAGTTGTTCTCAACATTTTTGGCATCAATCTTTAACCTTTCCTTGGAATGTTTCAAACAAAACACAACAAAAAAACAGTATTCATTTTACTACAACCTAAGTGTTGTTTCATTTGTTTTGGGAGCTATATTTTGGTGTTTTGGTTGTTTACCATTTATGGTTATTAAACCTCCCCCCCACACCCATTTTCTTTTCCCTTTCTTCCTCCATTCTTATATTATTCTAATGGATACTTTTGGATGGCAGGAGATGAAATATAGTATAAGCATGAGGAAACATTTAAAAATTAGTTTTATCTCCCTGATAATAGCCCATTCCTGATTCCACTGACATGCCATCACACAGTCAAGGTTAGAAAGATGTTGGCACAAAACATAACAGGCTTTTCAGTATGTATTTGCAGGATCAAACCTGAAAACCTTATACAACGTTACACAAAATAGTAGCTGAACATTTTGATCCAAACCAAAATACCAGGAGCAAACCTTCCTGAACCAAAAGAGGGTCACCATCTGGATCCAAACCCACTTTGGGAGAGGAGCGGTGTCTTTGAAGTCAGCGAAGAAGAATAGCACCATCCATTTCCCAGATAGTATTTTGGCAAATGTAGCACAAGAGATAAAAATGGCTTCTGCAGCTACATTTTCAAATGGGAATATAGGAAGCTGTGAACACTTTATTGACCTTTTTTAATTATTTGGCTTCAGGTGAATGTACCAGATATGCAATCATTATTACTTGTACTTTGCAGAAAATAGGCTGCATGTTGGCTTACATATGGCCATTTTTTCAAGTGCAATTTCAGCTGGGATTTTTGGGATATCCATTTTAAGTGAATGTGGATCAACTTATGAAATGAAATTTAATTTGAGGCAGATGGTAATTTTCAGGGGGGAAAGGGTTGAATTGAAATGCTAATTCTTCAAGAGCACATCCAACCTTATTTCTCTTTTTTGTTGCATGATAACCAGTGGGCATTCAGACAACACATTTACAATGGATGCAGACTTTCTCATGGGAGGCACAGTTACTCCTCACCACAAGGGATCTCTGAAGCCAGGATTATAGAAGGAGTCCAGAAAGTATTGGATATTTATATGGAAAACCAAAAAGCACTAGTTTTAAAGACTATCTATGAAAAACAATACAACTAAGATTTGGAAGGGATAAGCTCCTGTCAATGCCTGAGTTTACTTTATAATGAATCAGGGGTGTAGGCTGTAGCCGTGTTGGTCTAAGGACATAGGCAGACCAGGTTCTTTGGGTAAATCTGATATCTTTTATTAGACCAACTCGAATGAATCAGGGTTATAAGGATATAGTCCTGGTGTCTGGTTTTTCTATACTGTAAGGTCTCTAGACCCTTCCTCTGAGACAACTGCTGCTGGCCACGGTTGGAAGCAGGATACTGGGTTAGTTGACCCCCCAGCTTGAGCCAGTCTGGCAATTCCCCTGTTGCATAGAGAAGCTTCCAATGAGTTTGCCCAGGTCCCCTTTGATCTCGGAAATGTCGATGTACCTTTAATGGCATAACTAAGCACACGCGTGGCTAGAAGCAGGCTGCATCCCATGGTGGCCAGCTCCAGTAGCACCAACGCTGCTGGAAAATCAACTCACTAATGTGAATGTTTATTTGGCTACTCTGGCTACCCGCAGTTCCCTTTGCTGTTCAGTTCGACTAAACAGCCTGAGAAAATATTTATCAGAGGAATGTGGTAACAGATTTATTGAATCCCCAAAGCCTGAGGCCAGCTTTTTAGCACCAGGAGACCCTGCAAGTGAGGGGTGAGTGTGCAAC